GCTGACCTTACTTGCAACTCCCCAGGACCGTTGGTCCCGCTGCTCTCTCCTAGGGCATGCCTCCTGTACCTATCCTATATAGCTATGCACACCCCATCTGATAAAAAAGAAAGAAAGATTGAAAAGAGGAAAAAACAAGAAGAAAAAGAAAAGGGAGAAAAGAAAAGAACAAAAAGAGAGAAGAATTTTCAAAAATCCCGGGTCTGTTCATTGGCCTTCATGATTGTCCAGGAACTGCCCCTCCCCACCGGGCCCCCCCTCCTTGGGGGCTTCTCAGCTCTGCCTTGCTCCAGCTGCTGGTCTGGTATGCTCCCTTCTTGGCTTGCTCCGCTGTAGGGGCTTCAGACCGCACTACCTCCCCACCATGTGACCCCAGAAATGTCCTCTGTCACCCTCTGCTCCAGTAAGGGGACAACATGACATGAGCTATTGTTGGTTGCCCAGTTCCATTAGCTCCCCACAGGGAAGCCATCCTCTGGGCCTGGTGTGCCAGCGTGGGGTCCAGTCGGGCTCTCTCTTTCTCTTCATCTCTCCCAGTCTGCTTCTGTGTGGATGGGGCATGCTGGCCCCTCTCCCCAGACTGTAGGTTCAGTTGGGCTGGCTGGCTTTACAGGCCAGAGAGGGGACTGAGTCCTTAGGAGGACGGGAATAGCAGGGACAGCATGCTGTGCTAAGAAAGTCCCTCTGACTGCAGGGTGTCGGCTGGGTTACATGGTGGGCTTGGGATGATTGGAGCAGTGGTGGGATTCAGATCATGTCACACCTGGTTCATTGCCCCAATGACCATTTTAAGACTAAAAAAAATAATATGATGAAAGGTAGTTTATTATTTCATACAGTCAGTAAATAAGAACAATAAAAGAGGTAGACACAACTAGATTATGTTATAAGAGTTTTAAAATGTTAATGAAAGAATATTAAATAATACCTGACAAAAACAACGAAACTGTTGTTTAAGACATTTCCGTGTTCCTTCTTATTGGCATCTTCACTTTCATCTGAGCATCATCGACTATATGATTTGTCCTTAACCATTTTTCCATTGTAGGAGCACAGGATCCCATTCCCTTGGAGGTGGGCCAATCAGGCCACAGTCAATGTATCTGATCTATTAGAAACAGGCGACCTCTCTTCTCTGAACATGTTACGTTCATCTTTGAAAAACCCCTTTCCACTTCTGCTGAACCTACAGCAATTGTTCTGACAATATTTTAAGCTCTCTGAATATTTCCAGGAGTTGCATCATTCATTCATCATATCTTGTGGGAATTTGGGGTGTCACACAGAGCTGAAATGCATGACAGCGGTCACCCTTCTGGTTATTTGGCACTCAGTCCCTTTACATTCTACATTCACCTACTGGTATAACAAAGGAAAGGGAACAAAAATGCAGTATGTCATCGACATAATGAGTTTTGTGAAATTAATAAATAAATATCATCAGCCTAGTCCCATCTCATTTTTTTGTATCGGTGTACTTAATGAACATTACGATAGGTGCTTAGAATAGTCTATTGCTCAAGTGAACCTCACATCACCAATAACCAAAAAGCTAATTACAGAAGACAAATACAAAGAGCTTTGAACAGAAAGTGCATCCACAGGAATTATTCTAGCAAATAATGAGTAATACCACCATGGATAAAATGTAAGATGCTACTAAGGAATATAAAATAGGACCTGAGTAAATGGAATGACAGTACCTAGTTTACAGATGGGATGTCATTATAGATAAATTATTTATAAAAGGGAGAGTAAAGAATGTAAATTGGTGATTCCACATGGGGCGTCCCTCAGAGAGAACCCAGATTACAAGTGCCATTTTAACAACCTGGTCACTGAACTCAACAACAACAAAAAGTAGGTATTGTCTTTGTTGAACTGGTGAAAATGGGATGCATCTGGCTGCTGGATCAGAGGCAGGAAGGCTACGGAAGAGCAATGGCAGTGATCCAGGCTCCAGAGGATGAGGACAGGGTACAGGTGCTAGGGGCAAAGGAGACAAGGAAGAGTCCCTTACTTGTGGAAGTTGACTCTGTTCCAGGTGAGGGGGGTGAGCCCACCAAACCTTATGGCAGGTCCGGGTTTCAGCACACCATGATCTCTGAGACCCCTGCCCCTGCCTGACGGTCATTTCCTCTTCTTCAGGTCTCAGCGGCCTACATGGGTGCCGTGAGCTTGTCGGCTACTGGATTTTACAGGTGAGTCCGTGTTGTCATCCTACCTCTGATGCAGGGGGAGCAGACCCATCAGAGCTCCTTTCTTCCTGGGATGTCCTCTGATTTCAGTTTAAAGATGCTCTCACACGTGTGAGACCACTCTGTGATGTGGCAGAAGGCTAAAAGCCTGAGGTGCCCTATCAGGAGACCTGCTTTCTAACTGGGCTCTTAAGTATTGATGCATTCCTTCACTTGGTGCTTCATCTTTTGGGCAACTTTAAATCCCAGTCACAGCATGGATAGACAGAGACCCTGCCCCTCTGACCTAGAAGCTGCAAAAAGATCGGGCCACATTGACTGTCAGTTGTCACTGAGGGGTGTAACTCGGAGAAATTTAACTAGGGCCTCTTCTTTCGCAGGTTGCTAGATGAGAAAAACACTTTAAATGAAGAAAAACACTTTAACGTGTGCTCAGAACAATTTTGTGGGAATGTACAAATGGTCATGTATGTTTTAGGTGAAGACATGCCTTGCCCATGCTCGGTGGGTCATGCAGCATTTGCCCTACACAAACAAATGTCCTTCAGTTCATATCCCGCTTCTGCAGTTGATAGGACAAACATACTGCCCAGCAGGCCCTGGATGAACAGAGGAGGTGATTCCTCCTAAGAGAAGACATTCCCTTCAGCCCCGCCTTGGTTTTTTTTCTCGTGGAGGTTCTGAGCACATTGGTTAACTTTATTCCTGTGTCCTGTAGGGAGCCCTGGAGGTATAGGGGTTACGTGTTGGACTGCTAACTCCAAGGTCAGCAGTTCGAAACCACCAGCCACTCTGAGGGAGAAAGAGGAGGCTTTCTATTGCAAGTTACAGTCTTGGGAAACTCAGAGGCAGTTGCACCTGTCCTCTGAGGCGGCTGTGAGTTGGGACTGACTTGATGGCAGTGAGGGTTTTGGCAGCCTTGTGTGTAACACACCAGCTAGTTTCCCATGAAGTCAGTTCTCACGCATGGGATCCCACACGTGTCAAAGCCGAACTCTGCTGCGGAGGGTTTTTGGTGGTTGAGTTTTTGGAAGTAAATGGCCAGGTCTTTTCTTCAAGGTGTCTCTGGGTGGACTCAAGCTTCCAACCCTTCAGTGAGTACAGAGCACATGAGAGGTTCGCACCCATAAGAAATCCAACCTATAGTGTGTTAGGAACTCTGTGTACGTGAACACGTACAGGCACCTGCGCGCGTGCACGCACACACAATTTACAGAAAACAACAACAACAACCCAGAATTGTATAGGGTACTCAGGATTGAAAATGTGAACCCGTTTCTATGAAGACCATCTCCCTGGGATAATGTGTTGATTTTTCCAGGGGGAGAGGAGGTGCAAGTGACGTGGGCCGGTGGGTGTCTGCTGGAGTGTGCACCCAGGCTAGTGGAAGCACCTGATCTTTTTAGCTTCCCCTTAAAAACAGGCAGCCATGTGAGCAGGCAGATTTATGGGCATAGCCCACAGTCACAAGCAAGACTTGAGGTTCTGAAGTCCCTGGGTTCTCATTCAGCAGATTCTTTGAAGTTTGACTTTCAGGTCCTCCACGGGTTCAGGCAAATCTCCATTTGTTTCCCATGGAGACCAGCACGCTGTTCTAAACGGTCCTTGGCTACTCACAATGATTTATGTAAGGGCCATTGGCAAAAACAGAGCAAAGACAAGGGGGAATAAATTCTGGAATACCTAGGTTTCATTAACAGGTTCAAAAGATTCCAAACACGTGGACTATCCTGGAAAAGAGCTGGATGGGGGGTGGGGAGGGGAATCCTTTAGATCTCAAAACCTTGGGGGACAGGCTGTGTATGTGATGGGCAATGTTTTCTCTCTTCTCCCCCAGAACACCCAACCTTGGCTATAGCTTTGAGACAAACTCAGGGAACCCCTTCCACTACTTCACCTATGGGGTGGCTTGCTCTGAAGTGGAGATTGACTGCCTCACAGGGGATCATAAGGTAAGAAGTGGCAACTTTACTAGTTAGGGCGGGTGGGGACCGTGTAGAAACTACTAAGCTGTCACGTGAAGATGGGGGATGGGGAAAACAAGGAGAGGTGTTGGCATCCGCTTTCAGTGAAGGGGAAACTGTGTCACTCTCTCAGGCCTGGTGGACCAGGTGGTCCCCCCTGGCCTCAATCCTTACCTCTACCGCTGCGGCAGGAGAGCAGCCACAGACAGTGTGTATGCAGTTAAGCCCGACTGTGCTATCAGGCAAGGTGATTTCCAGACACTGAAATTTGAATTTTGCGGAATTTGCACATGTCACTAAGCAGTCTTTTTATTTATTTTCCAGTCACTTATTAATTTTTCCATATGATCATCATAATGAGTTTCACTCCAGCCATTGCTACAAAGTTGATTCAGACACCCAACAACCCTATCAAACAGAGTAGAACTGCCCAGTAGGATTTCTGAGGCTGGATATCTCTACAGACACAGATGGCTAAATCTAGTTCCCAGGGAACCATTTGCACTACTGATCTTGGGGTTGGCAGCCAACCCTTAACTGCTGTGCCCCGAGTGTTCCTTTGATTAGCTCATGGCTTCTGAGAAACAGGCAACAGGCGGGCCAGAGTTTGAGGACCTTCCTTACATGATATGATAGACCCTGACTCGGGTCTGAAGCCTCAAATCCTATGGACGGACCATGAACTGCTCAGTCACAAGTGTGTGCAGCTGTTCCATGTTGCCAAGACGGTGCTGCCACTCCCACCCCCCACCCCACCCCCGATCTCCTGGGCTGGCTGCTAAGAGCTAACACCTCAGTTCTGCTGATGGCAGTGGTACCCAGAGCTCCCGGGTCAAAGTGCTATTGAGCTTTTGACTTATAGCTGAAGGGTCCCCAAAACTCATTCAGCCTCTCCAACATCTCTTTCTTCTCGAACTTTAGAACCTCCACACGGACATCGTCATGGACGTTGGCAACAGTCTGAACCCTGCCATCGATATTGGGCAGGTAAGGCTCACAGGAACCAGGGTGGTGATGGGCTTGGCCACTGATGTGCTCATCTCCCTCCTACGACCACGGGCAGTTTGAAGCAGGACTGAAGCAGCACACACACACACACACACACACACACACACACACACACACACGAGCAGCATGTGGAATGGAGATTGAGTTTGGGATCGATGCCCTGGCAGCTAGGTCTGGGGTCAGAGGAATCCCCCGCCTTTCCTTCCTTTCCGAACCCGGGCCTCTTTGGGACTCTAGGAAGCCCATGCGGGGCCGGAGGAGGACACTGGAGCAGGAGGAGCATGGGGCAGGGGTGGCCACTTTTGGCCGATTGAGCTGATGTGGTAGAAAAGGAGAAGGTAGTGGGAAGAACGAGAGAATGGAAATGCTGAGCCGTTGGAAGATGACGATGATTGTTTCTCCCAGTTTTTTTTTCAATTCATGAGGACCCAGAAGTCTGATCATTAATCATTAATCTGCTCATCCATTCTTTAAACACCCATTTTTGGAAACTTCTAGAGCCAGGCCCCCAAAGGGCAGGTAGTCCCTCTGTGAGGCAGTAGGGGTTCGGAGAGGATTAACTCACGGCCTTGCCCCCGAACACCTCCTTCTGCCACTGAGGTGCCACCGTGCCCTGTGCTGAGAAGGGGGCTGGGTGCAGAGCAGTAGATGGTGGCAGGGGTCCTGGGAGAGGATCGGAAGGTACCATGGGCCGTTCTTTCTCCTGGAGCCCAGCTGGGAGGTGGGAATTAGAAATGGCCTCAAGGACGTCTCTAAGAATCGACTATCCATGACCTGACTCCTCTCTTGGGGCTTCGTGGGGATCTGAGGCCTCCCCCAGCACACAGCAGGGAATGTGGGTCCCCAAGGGGCAGGGCTATCAATGGTGAGCTTGCTTCTCACTGGGAGGGTGCCACTTCTCTAATGGCAGACAGGGAGAACATGGCTCCATCTGCCCTGAGATAGGTTGTGGGGTGACATCGTGCCCATCGCTGGGGACTGTCCTAGAATAGCTGACCAGTTCTGAACTGGTCTTCAGTGCTAATGCCAATGTCTGGTGATGGGCAGGCTTGTATTGGGGGGCTCCCTTTAGCTTCACCCTCGACGCCTCCCCCCGGGGTGTGGGAGCTTTGCGCCTGTGTGGGGAGCAGCCTCTCTCCTTTGGGGGCCGGGAGATGGGGTGACCATGGTCTCTGTCTGTCTGCAGGTGGAAGGGGCATTTGTGCAGGGCCTCGGCCTTTTCACCTTGGAGGAGCTGCACTACTCCCCTGAGGGGAGTCTGCACACCAGAGGCCCCAGCACCTACAAGATCCCTGCCTTTGGCAGCATCCCCATCGAGTTCCAGGTGACCCTGCTCCGTGACTGCCCGAACAAGAAGGCCATCTACGCCTCCAAGGTCCTGTCCCTCTGGGTCTGGGCTGCCTCATGAGCTGCACTGGGGGAGGTCCCGGGTGGCGACCAGGGGCCCTGTCGTCCACTGCTCCGATCTTCTTGAAGACACGAGAGGCCCTGCGAGGGCTTTGGTGCAGGTGGTGGCGGAACGGATGGTTCTGCCCGAGAACCAGTTGAACTCGGCCGAGGATACCAACCCAGCATTGTCCGAAGCAGGCTCTGATGGGCAGACTCACATTCCTAAATCACACCAGGAAGGTCAAATTCTGGTTTCTAATCCTGTGCCAGGTGTGCCCCTGTGATACTTGACCCTGAGAGATGGTTCCACAGGCCTAGTACCCCCGTCAGCCTCCCACAGCCAGTGCATCTGCTTCATGGCAGCTGGGGAGGTCCCCTTGCTCACACCCACTCACCCCCTTTGGTGACTGGGACCAGAGAAGCATGCCCGAAGGCTTGTGAAAATATGGTTGAAGATCGATTCAGTTGATTGACAGGTTGAGGCCTAAGAAAGAAGGGGAGTGGCCATTTGTAACCCACCAGACACATTGATGTGCTCATCGCTTGCTTTGCTTTTCGGGGTGGGGTGGGGGTGGGGGTCTGAGGCATGCTGTGACCCCATGCGGAATGGGTAGGATTCGTGATGAAAATGCGACTCCCTGGGCCAACCCCTAGAGGGTGAGTCGGGAGATCAGGGGAGGGGGGAGAGGGGGGCGGGCAGAACCTGCATCTTAAACAAGTATCCTGATTCAGGTGGTTTGGCCCGTTCTGTGAGGGCGGGTGCAAAGTCATCTCTTCTAGAAGGGACGCAGGAGCCCTGAGGGTGGAGTGGGTTACATGTGGAGTTGCTAAATACCAGGTCAGCCATGTAAAGCTCCCAGCAACTCCCAGGGAGCCAGATGAGGCTTTCTACACAACTACTGTCTGGAAACCCCCGGGCCACTTCTCCTCAGGCCAATAGGTTCTCTAGGAGCCGAACAGACTGGGTGGCAGTGGGTGGGGAGAAGGCACTTCAGTGGGTCCTTATCCTGTGAGTCCAGCAGCTGCTGTAGGTATAGCTACAGCGCCTATACATGTTTTCATCAGAGTGGCTACCCCTACCTCCTTCCCACTGCCATCGGTTTGATTCCAACTCCTCAGGACACCATAGGGGTTTGCTGATGCTGTGCATCTTTACTGGAGCAAAGAGTCGCCTCTTTCTCCCACAGAGTGCCTGGTAGGTTTGAACTGCCGACCTGGGGGGTTAGCAGTCCAACGCTTACCCAACACCACTACCAGGACTCCTTATCAAAGTCACGGATAATAAGAGTATTCTTCTAGGCTAAAAAAATGGTAGAGAAAGCATTAAAGCTCACACCAGAGCGATGGTCTTCTCTTTACCTGGCAACCATCTGATCTAACTTCGAGTGACGCATGGTATGGACGCGTGTGTCATCTGAAAAGATGACAGCAAGAGTTAAAAGAAACAGGCTGGCGAGATGTCATCTCATCCTAACACACGAGTTCTCAGCTCTGCGGGTTTCTGACGACCTTTGCCTGCCTGCCTGCCTGCCTGCCTGCATCGGTGTGCTGCGCATTCATGCAGGGCAAGGTTTGGACAGCACCAATAGCCTTCACTGTGCAGGTCTCCTCCCCACCCCTGCCTCCTGGTCCATCCACTACAGGGATGTGGAGGCTGGGGCCACCCGGTCTGAGTCCCTGCCCTGCTCTCTGTCTGTCCAGGCGGTTGGCGAGCCACCCCTCTTCCTGGCCGCCTCCATCTTCTTTGCCATCAAAGACGCCATCCACGCAGCTCGAGCTCAGCATGCAGAATACAGCGCAAAGAGGCTCTTCCAGCTTGACAGCCCTGCCACCCCGGAGAAGATCCGCAATGCCTGTGTGGACCAGTTCACTACCCTGGTACGCTACCTCTCACGGGCCCGCTGTGGCTGCGGGAGGCCGGGGCAAAGGCTGGCCTGTGCATTCGGGGGTAGGTTCTGAAAGGAAGAAGGTGAGGTGGCGGGTTCTGTCTCCACTGGCAGCGATGCATTACTGGCCACCCTCCACCGTGCAATGTGAGAGACTCAAGTGGACTTGCTGGAGAAGAATGCGAAAGCTCCCTAAAACTGCAGCTCATAGCTTGGGGTCCCCAGGTGGGTGGAGCATGTAGTTTATAGTCACAACTCACCGATTGCAGATTTTTCCCTCTAGAGGAGGGTGATGCATAAAAGTCCAAAAGAGTCGAATCCTCCATTTCAGTCGCTAGCCGATTTGAGATGCTTCTTTGTTAAAGGCACGGTGTCAAGTACTATGGAGATGGAGGGGGTGGGGGTGGGGATGGGATGAATGAATGAATGAATGAATGAATGAATGAAGTCAACCACATTTGTTCTGAGACCACCGTGTTGCATGCTGATCCTGAGGACACAGAGGTGCCCTTGAGGATTTTGCAACTTTCTAGGAAAACAGATGGTGGCATTATGTTGTGACCCACTGCAACCTTGTCAGGGTAGGAGATGGGAACACTGAGCATGGAGGAATTCCTGGTGACAGAAAGCCATGGTAGGAGCAGAGCCAGCCCAGTTTTTGAGGTGTGCGGAAGAGGGCACTGTGCATACCCACTCCCATCAAGCCAATGCCCAGTCATAGCGACCCTGTATAAGGTCCCCAGCATTGTGACTCATTACTGGGGCAGACAGCCTCTTCATTCTTCCTCACAGCGAGGGGTGGGTTTGAACCACCAACCTTGCAGTTAGCAGACCAATGTGTATCTCACAATGCCACCAGGGTTGCGTATCCCGAGCTCTCCAACTGCCTTTTCAACTGCAGCCTCTGTTGACTGCTTAGAATGAGGTGTTCCCGATACTCTGATAGCTGTTGACATTTGATTAGTCTTTGGATTTATAGATCAAGTGGGTACTCATGGATCCAAAGCATTTCAGAGTTGGGGAGTGTATGGGAGCCCCTGATCCAACAGGACCCCCCCGTCCCCAGACCTCAGCTCAGAGTGTAAGGCAGACAGAGGGGCCAGCAAGGCTACTCTGCAGGGTGGCCTGGAGATGCAGTTGGAGAGAAAGAGGTGCATAGACAATGCATTGAGCTTCCAGACAGAGGGGACAGTCCAGAACCTTCCCACAGCCCAGAACCTTCCCACCCCAGTCTCCATGCTGACTCTTACCCAAACCCCCTTACCTGAGAGGAGAGGTCCTGCCTGGACTCCCAGTAAGCTCACACTATGCAAGGTTAGCTTCTTGTCAGCTGCCCAATGCAGACCTCAGTCATCAGAACACCTGAGATCCCAGACCCATCCTGCCCCAGCCTCCGTCCTATGTTGCAGCACACTTGTGCTTTAGAATCCTGGGGATGGAGCCGCAGGAGCAGTGCATCCTGGGAACCAACAATACTTTTTGGTGCTGTGGGAACTACGTAAGAAGCAGCCAGATCTCTGCTGCTCATGGAAATATCCCCAAAGCCTAATCTCGTGCCGGCCACCTGGACATCGTTCAATGCCTAAGGGAAGACTAGCATGGCAGGAGTCCTGTCGTGGGGACATTGCCAAAGACTGGGGCTCCAGGATGCAATGTTGTCATTGGATGGTGTTGGCAGTGGCGGGAGGTGGCACGTGTGCAAGATGAGTGGATGGGGGCACTGTGCCCTATGCTTTTGGAAGAGCCTGGCAGTGAACATTCTCTGCTTCTTCCCTAGTGTGCCACTGGTGTCCCAGAAGACTGTCCTCTCTGGTCCCTGAGGGTGTGAGGAGGAAGTCCCAGAAGAGTCGTGTGCCACCGTGGGACCTCCTTGGAGCTGGCAGCGTGGACTGCAGAGCATGACTCAATCAATGTTGCAGGGTGACCACGCTTGGGTTCCCCAGGATGGCATTTGGGAGAACATGAAACACCTCGGAAACTTTTGATCAAAAAATGATTTGAAAACATCATGATACCCAGATTCAGAACAGTTAGGCCCAGGTGATGAATATGAGATTAAGGTTCCTTCATATCAGTTTTAATCATGTATTTATAATCGCTTGAAAAAATGTGAATGCTATACATTTATCATGCTAACTTACAAAGGCCATCGCCGTGATCAAATTCTCTGGGCAGCCTGTCTAACTTCGATCACGGACAGCATCCATCCTTCAGTGAGGCTTCCCGCAGACCCAGGTGATTGTGCATCGGCGTGCCTCCGCCGAAAATGTTGCCTTCAAATCAATGAACATCTTCTTGTGACCTCAGATCCAGACTCCCTTGCGTGATGGGGCAGCACGGTGAGATTACAGCCTTTCGCCGTCTTCGGCTCCCCGGAATGAGACACATACAAAGTGAATCAGACCCAATTTTGTTAAAGCGGCTCAGGGTCAGATTGTTTAATAAAAGAAAACCCCCAGCCTCCCCCATCATCGGATCCCTATGGTGTGTGCTAGCTTTCTTCTCGCTTTCCCTTGCGGTCTTTAAAAGAAACAAAAAGATCAGGCTTAAACACCCTCCTTTGAAGACAGAATCATCTCTACCCAGTTGCCATCAACATCAGGATCCACCCCCCAGGAAACCCCATTCCCATCCCAAGTCTGCTGCTAGCATGGCTGTGGCCATGGAGGTGTTGTCCCTTCTACGCCGCCTCATCCTGGAAATGGAGAGCCGGGCCAGAGAATCTCTCAGGTCCTCTCCAGCTCTGAAAGTCTATAAATAAGTGACCTGACACAGCCCGGTTATATAACTACAGCTCTTGAAGACTTTTCCCCTTTATTATTACCCCGTAACTGGGCGTGATGAACTTTGCTTAGATTCTCTCAAGTGCCAGGGTTGGGAAGGAGAACGGAAGCAACAAGGAGTGCCCCGTCTTGGTTTAAGAGCTGGTCGCTTCACTCTCGGGCCTGATGGAGAGTGGGCGACGTTACCCTGTCCTGCATCTTCTGCGTCTAAAACACTCCATCTCTGCCGGATGGCCCGGCTCTGGGGGAGGAGGAGAGCAGGTCCTGGGGAACCACGTGATTGAACTTGGTGTTTGACGTCACTAATAAATGAGACTGTCACCTGGTCGGCTCTCGAGGAATGGTTATTAGTCATCCTACTCACACCAAACGCTGATATCTTCCCACCTCTGGGTCAGAGTTCATTTCTAGAAAATGCTCACTAGACACTCATTTCTCTCTCTCTCTCTCTCTTTCTCTCTCTCCTTTCTTAAAAAACTCCCTTTGAAATATTCTATACCCACTGGTGATTTATTTTACCACGGGGTTAAAACTGAAGTGCATTAGACACAAAATGTATGTGCAGTGAGATCCACCCAGGCCCATCTGGGGATTCTCTGGAACGCCCTGGGACATGCTCTGAGGCTTGTCATTTGCTATAGTGAGGCCCCAAGGGCGGCGCAAGGACTCGGCTTCTCTCTGTGTAAGGGATTGAGGTGGGAGAGCCATGATCACAGAAAGCAAATGAGAGAATGCTTCAAGAATGATACACAATGGGGGTGCTCTGCCCTTCCGACACTGTCCCTTGCCCCTGGTGTCTTAATTCTGCAAGCTTTCTCCAGTTTACAAAGGCGAATTCCAAAAAGGTGCTCAAAACTGCCTGCAGTGTGACACTGCTTCCTGCAGAGGGCAGTAGAAGATTGAACATGAGACAACAGTCTCCTGTCTATGGTTCGTTATTTGAGCACCCTTCCCGGATCTTACACTGCACCAAGTGACCAAGTTGTCTTCCAAAGTCTTTCCTGGACCTGGATTCACTGCTGATTTCGGAGTTCAAACACAAAAATCTCCCCAGAGTAGCTCTCGGAAGATCTGGGTCAGCCTTGGGGGACCGCTCTCTAGACCAAAGGCTGGCAGTGGAAGACAATTTTGGCTTTGAGTGTAGATGGCTTGTTAGTTGCCAGGAGATTGATCCCGTCTTGTGGTGAAGCCGTGGGGCTTTCTTCACTGATTTTCATGGAAACGGATCACGAGGTCATTTCCTCTGTGATGTGGACAGATTGGTTCCCACCTGACAACCTTAGGATTAGCAGCCGAGTATCCAATCTAGTGCTTTACCTACGGGGTCTCTTTTTAATCCTCCCAAAAGTCTTTTAAAAAAATCCCTGCAAGGAGCCCCTCGTGGTATATAGGGGGTTATCCATGGGGCGGCTCACTGCAAGGTCCGCAGTTTGAAACCATCAGCAGCTCCGCGGGAGAAAGAAGAGGCTTTCTATTGCCATAAAGAGTGACCGTCTTAGAAACCCTCAGGGGCAGTTCTGACCCATCCCAGAGGGATGCTGAGTTAGCAGCAGCTCAATGCTATCGAGGTTTTGTGTTGTCGTTGGTTTTAATCCCTGTGACAGCAGGCAGGAGATGCCCTACAGAGAAGCCAGGCAGCGGGGCCTGTGTGCTGTGGGGTACAACTGCCCCCATCGGCTGTCTTTGGCGGAAGTCTCTGGAGGAGCAAACGGTCAGGCCCTTCTCTTATGGAGCGGCTGGTGGGCTCACACCACTGACCTATTCATTCATAGCTTAGCCACTGCCGGAGAGCCAGGGCTCCTAGCTTGCTCAGGGACGGTTACTCTCCAGGAAGCTTAGAGCAAGCTTAGGCCTTGCAGCCTGGGAAGCCCACTGAATATAGAGGGCAGACTTGCCTCTCAGGGCTGACTCATGCCGACTGGAGGCACGGAGATTGCCGGAGATACCAGAATGCCTCTCTGTTATCTACCGGTAGGGCTGGCTGTCTCCTTGGTGTGGCCAAGCTTCTGAACGGTTGTCAAAGAGCAGTTATTGGGCCTCTGAGCGCCAAGGTGGCTGGGAAGTTAGGCCTGAAGGACAGGATGGAGGTTATAGGAGGAACGCCAGCTGAGGGAGAAGGACAGAAATAGTATTAGATGATTGATTTACAGCTGGGGATATCCCATCTTTTTATTTTTACTCGGGGTGGGGTGGGTGGGGGCTGGAAACTATTCCAGCTGTGCCCGTTTGGGACACTGGGACAAAGAGATTCAGAACATGCAGCTTCCTTGACCCACAGGGTCTCGGATCACCCTGACTCCCCAGCCCAGGGTCCTGCCCTTTTGTTTCCTCTATTTTCAGGATTATTGGGAGCGTACATGACCCAAAGGCAGAGGCAGACCTTTGGCAACCTTGTGATCCAAGGCAAAGCAGCCTGGTGATGGGAGTGGAGCTATCAGACTCTGCCCAAAGGACTCTGGCATCCTCGCTGCCCTTCCACTGCCCTGTCCTTGCATATCCCAGGACCAACCCGGCTTCCCAGACGGGGAGGACCACGGGGACCATCATGCTCATGGTCTTTGTTTAGAGATGGGAACTGTGAACCCAGAGAGGGCATGTTTAGTGGGAGAGCCTGGCCGAACACAAGGCTGTCTGACTACTAGATCAGCCTTTTTTTCGAAGCCACGGAGCACTAGTCAAAGGAGCCTTTTAATATGTAACCTTCGGTCCGAGAGCAGGGGAAGATGATAGGATCTATGACAAGCTGAAGAACTGGGGCAAGGAAGGGCCTATACTTGCCTCTTCCTGCACATGTATCATGAATGTGAACAAGGGGTGCTTTCTGAAACTCCGGGAGTCCTGCTGGCATGTTGGGCTGCTAACTGCAAGGCTAGCAGTTCAAAGCTACCAGCCGCCCCCTGCCCAGGAAAAAGACAAGGCTTTGATTGGCTTAAAGAATGACAGTCTTGGAAACCCACAGGAGCAATTCTACCCTGTCCTAGAGGGTCGCTCCGAGTCAGCCTGGACTCGAGATGACGGCGAGTTTGGGTTTGGGTTCTGAAACTCTAAAAGTGGGGGACTAAAAACCCCATGTCCAAACGCCCCATCTTTCTAAAGTGGTGTGCTGACTCATGTCTGTAAGGCGCGCCAAAGGAGGAGAGCAGACTCAATTGCCACCCTTAGCTCTTCGCCCAGCTCTGGGACATAAAAGATTGATGTATGGGATTTGAGAGATTAGAGAGGGAGGATTTCTTTGGGGCTGGCATATTGTCATTCTCCCTGAAAAAGAGGAGTATGTCCTGGAGGTCCCCCTGACTAGGCTATAGGAGGGGGAGTGGCAGACGAATCATGGAGACCCCAACATGAGACTTGCTTGGGAGGCTGGGTCTGGATCAGCCCAGGGCAGCAAGACAGCGAGAGGAAAGAGGCATGAGGGAGTTGCACCAGACAAGAGTACCAGTGTGATCACGCGGGACCCCCCACCCCACCCCTCTCTAGAAGGACTATTAACTGCTGTCACCCCAGCAGAGGAAGGGAACTGCCGGATGGCCAGGCATCAGGTCCGCGGGCTGCAGTGTGGCCACACACGGCCCACGAGAAACACACACCCCTCCTTGCCTCGCTTGTTCCTCTCAGCTGGTTAGCTCTGTCTGATCCCCAAGCACCCTTCACACCTTCCTGTCAGGTGGAGGGTGGCAGAACGCTGAGGTGCCTTTGTGAGACCGCAGACTGGACCCTGCCTGACTGCTGGGGAAGGGGCGCGGAGAACGTGTGCAGCAGGGCAGGCAGCCCCCAGGGTCCTGCAAGGTCCCTGTGTAAGCCCAGGGATCACCCCTCTGAGTTGGACCAGGAACGTGGCTCTTCCCCTCGCTCGTTCTTGGTCCCTATCTCTGGGACATCCTAGCTGAGGGGAAGGCCAGCTGCTTCCCCTGTGCAGTCAGTTGTCCTAACTTAGGAGTTTCCCACAAATGTTGGACAGGCCCACATGGGTATCCCTCACGTGTCCTCCCTGTAGGTGGGTGTACTTTGAGGGATCCACTTGGCGCTGTGACGTTCTCAAAGTACACTTCATTTCCATGCTTCCACCAAGGCTGGGCCGAGTTCCTGGCTTGGGCACAGTGTCAGGAAACAATGGTCCCCGATGGTGGGCTATTTAGGAGTTGAGGAGAGCACTTGTGGGAGTTGGCTAAGCAAGCCCTTCTGCTTTTCCTCTCTTTCCTTCTTCCGTCTTGGACAAGTCACTTTGTTCCTCTGACCCTTAGCCTTTCATCTGTAAGACAGGTGTTAGTCACTATGCTTAGTTCACTGTGCTGATGTGATGATTGAATGAATGGATGG